AAGGCATGCACACACACACATTCATACACACACACAATGTTCATCAACTGTCAGGTCTAATGGCAGAATGAAGGTCATATTTAGCATTCACTATTCAATTATATCACATGGGAAATTTAAAAATTGTTCTTCGCAAATCTACCTCTTACTTAAAAATGTTGTGGCTGCGATCCAAAACTGTATATAGACTAAATTCAGTGGAGTATAAGTGGCCAAGAGATCATGCTGCAGACCACAGAGTCCCCAGTTCTGATCACACCTCAGACATGAACTCTCTGAAGCCTCAGCAAGCCACATTTTACTTCCCACCTCATATGGAGTAGAGAAGAAAAATTGTTTGTTTGTTTCATCTGTATGCTTACATTAGTCATCCTTGCAACAATTCTGTGAGGTATATTGATAATTGTTGCAAGGATGACTAATATCAGCTATTTAACTATTCTGCATTTCATAGAGATCTCAAATCTTTAGGGGCTGGTGGGCACATTTTATATATTGAGGTAGACACTATTGCAAAATAGTGGTGGTGTGCCAATCACAAAAATGGCTGCCACAATCAGTCAGTAATCACCCATTTTCCCAAGGCAAAATGGTGAGGTTAAGAGACAATGAAGTTACCTGAATACATGGCAGAAGAGAAACCGGAGTTGGATCTGAGCCCCAAAGCATAAACTCACAGTTTTCTCTCCTATTCAGGATCAATGCTCCAAATTCTCTCTAGCCTCACACCACATACCTTTCACTTTCAACACTTGAGATCTATGTATATAGATTTTTAAAAAACTATCAGCCTACTATTATCACATCTGCTTCACAACACAAAATTATAGTACTTTGATGTCACATTAACTGACATGGCTCTGAAATCTGGGATTTCTAGTTTTGTGAGGTATTTAGAATCCTCTGCCAGAGAGTGCTAGTTCCTTATCAAACTACTAATTCCAGGATTTTGTAGAAAGCTGCAATGGCAGTTAAAGTGGTATCAGTGTGATAATTGTCTAGTACAGAAATTCCCAAAGTGGATTGGGAAGAAGCTTCTCCCTTTGCATCCAGCCACCCTGGGAGCAGTGACCAAGAAGCCACTCACTTGCACCAGCCTTTGACGTAAGGCCAGCATGAGAGAGAGGCTTCTTGGTCACTCCGTGGGTTTCCATGGCTGAATAAACCCTGGTTTCTACAGTCATAGTCCAGTGCTTGAACTAGTATACCGTGATGAGTCCCCACCACCACCACCAGCATCCCCTGAGCATCTTCATGGCTTAGTTGATGTACATGTGTTTACCTTTGTAAGCAGCATAAGGTCCTGACCCTCATTATCAGTTTAAACAGAAAGTTTACAAAGAAACACTAAATCTTACGAGTCCTGCTCTTCCAGCTCTATGATAATTCTGAGAAGCATGACATTCACTTTAACTTCATTGCCTTGCACTTCAGGGTCTCTCTCTCTCTCTCTTGCAACACAGTGTAAAGCTAAGTCTACAAAGGCTGCTGATTACATGTCTCTAAAATGTACATGCAATCTTGAGAAAGCAGGTAGGGTAATGTCTAAAGAGAAGCAAGCCCATGTCATTGAGAATGTTAACATCCCTTTGATAACCTTCTTCAAGGACTGGGAAATGGTTTACTGCACAGCAATAATGTGCTTGGGATGCCTTTGTACTGTAGAGCTAGACACCCAACTGGAGCCGTTAAGCCTAATTAGGCCCTTACAACTCCGCTGCTATTAGTAAAACAAAAGGAGAGCTGATGGTTTGATTACCCTTGGATTCAAATGAGACACACCATTGCTGCAAGCAAGTACTGGCATTAACCACTCCTTCTTAGAGCTAGAGACTTGTCAGGCTTGCAAAGAAGGCTTTTCAAAATATGCTTAAACTGCAAACTGCATGACATTCAATAGGAAAAGCACTTCTTCACTCAAGAA